AATACAATAATATTTCTATCATTTTTGTTAATTTTAGTTATAAACAATCGTTGTAGAAACATTAATTTTAATTAAAAAAATTATATTGATTACATATCATTAATATTTATGGTAAAAAGATAGCGTTCTATTCAATTTTTTCTTCGCAATATCGACAAACGATTAATACTGAGAGTTAACACGTAAATATTAAGTTTTTTACAAATTTTAAAACGGTGTAGAAATTTGATTACTGTACATTGATAGTGTTTTTTTAAATATGGTCTACAAAATGGTTACTTTGAATTTTTTTATTTTTCGTGAATTTTTGAAAATATTATTCATTTTTTTAAAATATAAAAGTTTTATAAACATTAATATATTAAGCAATTAAACATTATAGCACAAATATTTTTTAAAAAATATTGTAAAACATTAGCTAGTTTAAATGTTATAGGTATTGTGAGAACATGCTGGACCACTCTGTATATAGTAAAGATTACGAAAGGCCAACAGAACTGAAGTCATAATCATAAATGAAGTGAAAAATTATATTATTTACAATGAGTATTGTTTATTACACATGAATTCGTTTTAATAAAATAACTATAATATTAGTTAAAATAAAAATATAATTAAGTGGCACGACAACAGTGTCGTCAATAATTGGGATGAAATATTTAAAAATTTAGGGTTTCAAGAAAAAGATAAATATATAAAATTTGTGATATAATTATATATTTTATGGGGTAAGTTGTAGGGTTAAAAACATTGGCATACTTATAAAATGTTTATCAATGTGTGAAATCGTGTTAGATTATGAAATTAATTTTTTCTTTAAAGTAATTTAGACTATCCTTTTTACATATTTATCAAAATTTAATTTATGACTGTAAAAAATAAAAATTATTAATATATATTTTATATTAAAGAGTAGACTAAATTCATTTTTCACTCTAAATTTCATATGAAATTTTTATAAAAAAAAAACTGCAGTTATTGCTAAATAATTACTTTAAAGAGATATGTAGAAAAGTTTGATTGGGTTTCAATGATCAATACAAATCAATGTAAAGGTAGGATGATACTTATGAATAATATAAAGATAAAATGTAAACTTAGTGAAATATAATAATCATAAGTATAAATGAAATTGAAAACTCAAAAAGTAATGTATTTTAAAGTTTTCTAAACCTTAATTTAATTCCATTTGTAGGTGTGAATACTGGTGTTTTCACAAAAAATATTAGAGGCGAATCAGTTTTCTCACATGGTTCTACCTCATATCTCGTCAGCAATTCAGTCAACGCTAGTTTCATTTCCATTTCAGAAAAACGTTTTCCTATGATAAAATATAAATAATTTCTGAGTTATAATTAAACATAATTTAATTTTCGAAATTTACCAATACAAACACGAGGTCCATCTCCAAAAGGTAGATAAGTACCACTAGTTCGCCCTGCT